AAAATCAACGCGTAAAGCGCTTGTTTTCAAATACTAAATATTTGTTACCTCCTTCAGTGGACGAATAGGATACCAACAACAACAAGAATGAAAGCCAGCAAAGTAGAAGTTGTCTGGAGTTACTAGTTTTGACAAGAAGTTCGTCCATATCTTGGAAGCATAGTTTGGTTCAAAGAGGAATCGAAAGCAGTCAATCCCTACCCTACCCCTGGAGCGTAACTCGACAGCCACGGGTAAATACTTCCGAACAATGAGGTCACGACCCCAAAATAAACGCAGTCGCGTTATATTACCATAGACAACTGTAAATAGCGCCATATTTTCCTCGTGAAAAATCCTTGTCGATTTTCGTGACCTCCGTTAATCCCAAAATTGTAAACACGAAAGAATCGATTAGGAAATGTAAAGGTGGTGCTCAAGCAGAAAACAATCTTAAAATATCTGCCATTATTGTCAGGGTAACAAAAGCAAATATCCGCACACAGAGAGTTCGAGATCACACATGACGTCAGAAATAGCAACAATTATGTGTATGTTATGCCAAAAATCAAAACAGTAATGTTATTTCAAACAACCAAACTTGCTGGCGCTGTTTTTGATGTTAAAGGGGCTTTAAATGATTTTCATATTTCGATACTTACAGTAAACCTCCAGTTTGGCGGCAGATGAAGTGGAAGTGTCGACACTGTTGATGGCCACACATCTGTATTGACCTGCGTCTGATCGGTGAACATCTGTAATTGTCAAATTATGATTATTGTTCGTGCGAGAGGCAGCCAGTCGTGAATTTGCTGCGACGTTCAATCCTTGTCCATTCTTTGTCCATGATACGTTAGGTGACGGGTTTCCTTCAACTACACAGCTAAAAACGACATTTTGTCCTTCCACTATGGTGAGGCCTTCAGGATTCTTAGAGATCTCAGGTGCAACTGAAAAAGATAATAAAAATATAAAACATTGCTACAACGAACAAAGCTAAACCAAAGGGCTAAACAGTTATGACGAGCTAACTTGCAAAAAAACAAAAACAAAAAACAAAAAGAAATCATCTACTTTACAATGAAACCATGATTTAGAGGGGAAATTGAAAAGACAGTTTTTATACTGTAGAAGCCTGCAATTCGGCACAAACAAGAATCATACTCTTTTATATATATATATATATATATATATATATATATATATATATATATATATATATATAAGAACCTTTTTCTAAGGACGTTGAGGCTGAGATTAACCAAAATTTTGAGAACGTATTAAGAACATTCCTCACGCTGAGAGTCGATTAAGAACGTTTTTATTTTGCTTACCTGTATGGACAAAATAAAGGTGACAAAAAATGTAAATTAACTCAAGTAGTTAGGGGCATGTTTTGAATAACATTAACAATGGTTTTCTTATTGCATGACACACATCTCAGTTTGTAATAATCAGCAGTTCTTATTAATAACTCATTCCAAAATAACTTCCACACCATCAAAGTCATCTGGTCATGTCCGCTTTGATATATTGAAATACTGTATACCATGTAAATGAACATCTTAAGAACGTTTTTTCCCAAAAAATATAAGAAAGTTCAGCCTCAGCGCCAAAATAACACGTTGTTATACAAAAAGGGTGTATTATTTGACAACTTGGAGGATCAATTAGATACTGAGCCATACAAAGTTTTTTCAGATCTCTTGAGGCGAAGGGTACAGCAGATCACCGACTTCACTCAGCTCTATCTTAGACTCTACGAAAGATACATCACGAACTTTTCTTTCCAGAAGTATTTAATCATTTCGCGGAATTTAACCGTGTGATGACTATGATCAGTCATGCAAATATGGCGTGAAATATAGTCTTTGTATATGTTCCAGGGAATCTGATAGTGTTCACTGTAAAACTATATTCTCAAAAACTCACAGGCCTTGGTTTTTTATTTGACAAATGAAGATTTTTAGCGAAGCAAATTGGAACCTTTCATCAGTTGTCCATACATTTGCCTGTGTATCCGCTCTCCTCAATTTGACACTTTTCTAACCAACTCTGACTGGTAATATTTGCGTCTGTCATTCAAAATGGAACAAAAACAAAGAAAAAACTGGCCTTTACTTGTTAAGCAACATGCAAGTTCCATAATACGAAAACCTGATGTGAGGATAAAGAAGGATCTTAATCACAACTGCATGGAAATGAATTCGAACATGCTTAACACATTACATTGAATATCCAGTGTAGCAGCATTGGAGGTATCATTTCCAAGTTCGTTGCTCGCCACACATCGGTATTCTCCGCTGTCTGTCCTGTTTACATCCGTTATTGTCAACTGCTTGTTGTCTTCTGAAAAACTGATCCTAGAAGAATCTACAGGAGATCCATCTCTGACCCATGATATTGTTGGTACTGGATTTGCAGTAGCATTACAAGATAACGTCACGTTATCTCCCTCTGTTTTTGCAACACTTCGAGGCTGAACAGTGATCTCGGGTTTGTCTGAAATAATAGAACAATCCGCAAAATATATCACAACAGAACAATGTACATGGCGCGAAATGCAATGTTTATATCATAAGTAATCATGATTTATGGTTAATATGTAGTCCCAATAGATTTGACGATTACCGATGGGCGACTGGTCGGGGTTTTTAAATCTCCTAGTGCACTTTGTCGCCGGTGTTACATATGGAACAGCTGTAAAGGAAACTGAACAACTCAGTGGCTTCCTCGTTCCCGACGGAACACATCCACGGCCGTTAAATTTTACAATTAAAATCATTTGCTGGGTAATACTAAGTTGTTAAAGTTTTCGGGAAGAAAATTACTTCAAGGCTTCCAACAGCGTGGTTTTGGGGAATTGTTTT